CAAATATGTCAACTACTGTATGACTAGAAACTGGTAAGCTAACAGATGGCCATCGTACACGTTTTAGGTCAACTACATATCGGGTGATTTATAAAAATACAAATACAAACACCCACCTGCAAAGCAGCTGGGATATTCGAGAGATTCGCCGGAAAAATAACGATGTTTTAATGACGTCACTATATGGACCAATACTGACCAAGCAGACGACATCCCATAAAGAATGCAAATAATTGCAAGGCTTTTATTTGTCAAATTATAATGAGTTTAGTGTATATAAATGTGATGGCATGTCAAACCATTCAAAAGGGGATATGACCCGATTCCGATAACTAAAATCTTTTGCTTGTAAATAAACAACAGGATAGGGTTAATTAACAATCAAAGAAACCAGACTTTCCAATTGAAAACCCCCGGAATGATATTAAGGACGGCATTTGTTCCCTCTTGAAACGCCGAACCTACCGCGGTGTGTGCAGCTGAATATTCAATGGCGTCTTATTTTGTTTACAAGCGACAGGTTCCTTTATTTGTGTATCGCTGCATTTGTCATCAAAATAAAGCCACGTGCGGGGTTTAAACTTTAGAGTGAGGCAATAGATTATACATTTAGCCTGACGGTAGTGAAGTAAGAGAAAGAACTCAAGAGAAGATGAAAACACAGGCACTGAAAATGTGTGAGATGTCATTGGACATCTCGTCTGCTTGTGCAAATCGTGTCCATACTGTGATCTCACACATCTCAGCAGCGTTCGGAGAGCTCTTCAGGTGCTATGCCGGGACTGTATTTAAGCGTTTTATAATTTGTAATAATTATTACTTCGAATGTTTCCAAGCATTGAATTTGTATAACCTTGTCGAATCAAAGTTTCAACTTTGCAATAATGAAATTAAGTTAGTTTTTAAAAATCAATGAATGATATCTACTTTAAGTAGAGCGAGACAGAGAGACAGAGGATAAAGGAACTTTCAATGAGACGACCGTTTCCTTTGCCATCATTATGTTCAGTGCCAGCTGACCATCGCTACGCCAGTGATGAACGAAAATGTTGTTATTTGTTTTCAAAACAATTTACGAAATAACAGGTGATTGTAAGTACTCTACACTGATAGACCCACCTCTAACAGGTTGTGTCTCCTTCAGATATTTATCAGCAAGCATGACCAGATTAGCATCAATGAGAGCTTGTTTCAGTCCCATATGCTGGTCACAAGGCTCCAAGGTCTGTCTCCAGTCAAACAGCATGTCACGTGTTCCCTTCCAAGTCACCCGTCCTTCTATCCTGTTGGTCTCTGTGTATCTATTGATCGCTGCAGCTTTAAATCGAAGAGCTCGTCCTAAGGTCTCCATCTGCTCACCTGTCTCGATGTCTTCAGCCAACTGGAAGAGGAGACCATCGGCAATACCTCCTTGCGTCGCCATTACTGTAGAGACAATAGTAACGGAATGGAAAATATAAATACAGTCAGTCACTTCATGAAACGACATGCTTATACTTTCAATCCAGCTTATGAGGTCACAAAAGCCATTATTGAGTATCGAATTATCTTGTAATACGTATCAATAAAACGTAATGCAATCATAAATGATATCAAAAATGGTTGATTGAATATGGGTTATGTTGCAATAAATATCTTCACTTCGTTTGGCATGAATATCTCGTTCTTTAATGATAGGG